GTAATGTTTACTAAATCTTTCATTAACTCATTTTTGCAAAGCTTGCCAGCCACTCTCCATGGACAGTGCACATTGTTGGCAAGACTGAAAAAGCAGTGTTGTTTGTCTTCCTTGCCACAGGGGTTCCCTCTTCTTCACCACTGGGGCCACCCCTCCCCATGGACACTCTCTGCCCTTCTCTTTACCCTGAATTCCACCAGTAGGCAATTTTATGTTTCGTTTGTGCAGAAGGTTAGCAGATGGGTCTGGGCAATTGTGCTGTGCACAGCTTTGGAAGGTTAGAATCTCTGTAACTATAGTCGACAAGATGCAATTATTTTTTCCCACCAAGGTCCGTTAAGAAAATGGCACGATCCTGCTTCTCTGCCTTTGTTCATGCAGTTACCTCTGCCTGAAATACCTCCTGTCTCCATCAACCTATATTGCACTCATCCCTCAAGACTCAATTTTTGCGTCATCTTCTCTGGGAAGCCTTCCCCAGTTCATGATTAGAATTGTTCTTTCTGTCTTCTGCGCTTCCCTTGCTCTTTGTGCTTCTAAAATCGTGCTAACAACAGCCTGCCTTGTATTCCAATTATTTGTATAGTTCCCACTTGCTTATTATGCTGTCAACTCTCTGGAGGCAGAGGCTCTTTATTGTACATTTCCATATCTTTCACAGAGTTCCTTTGCCCTAGTAAGTGCTTAATGTATCAATATTAGTGGAATTGAACTTTCAATGAAAACGTTTTGCACGTTCAAAGTGAGTCTCATAGATATACAACTAAGACTTTATGTCCCCAGATGACATTTCTTTCTGAATAATTAGGTAAGTGAAATGTAGAATCTACTAGCAGCAGGCATGTACAAGAACTGCCAGCATCTGTAATGTGTGGCTGGAGAATCTAATCAAGCTTAAATCACATCACACAGTGAATTTTCCATTTGCAGCTGATAGACTCAAACTGCCCCCACACAGTAATCTGTTGTCTCCATTTGCCCATTTGTACTTCAACATTTAAGCCACTGAACCATCCATATAATCTATTGTTCACGCTAATGCACAATCAAGCCGGGTTCCCTACCCCGAACACCTGCTGTTTTTTTTTTTTTAAAGAAGAGCATTGAGTTAATGGTTCAATGTTAATGTAAGTTGATTTTATTGATTTTGTGCTGGCAGTTGATTAATTATAAAGATAGGTGTCATGCCTTTGTGTTCTCTTCTCTGAATTAAATATACAAGTATGACTCATACTGAAGCTGATGTCAGCAAGACCTTTGATCCCTGAGGATGCTGTAAGTGGTATCATAGTGATTGTTATATTTACTACTTCTGTTGTCACCTGATAATGGAAATTCCATCTCAAAAAACGGATTTGGAAAATCATACATTTGTAGTGTAAGCTAAGGTAGGCCTGTGTCTTGTATTGCATTACCTCCATGGAATTTGAAAAAGCAGGTGTTAAGTGAGCATGAGTTTCATTTGAAAATTATTTCTTATACTCTATTCTTCTCCTCCTCCTTTTCCTTCTTCTTTTTCCTTCTTCTTTCTTTTCTTCCTCCTTCTCCCCTCCTTCTCCTGTCCTTCTCCATCACATATTCAGTTGCCAGTTACAGTAATGAATAGGAATTTTCTTGTACATAGATTTAAAATATGATTCATAAAGAAGCTCCTTTTTTCAGTCCAATAAGATGTTCCAATGCATGTCAGGTGTTGATTAGGACAAATGGAAACTCTCCTGTCTAGGCTATATATAAGCCTTTGAAGTCGGGGCTTTAGGAAGATATGTTCTCTCAGGCAATTGAATTATTTTGTCCTGAATTAAAGCAGGGCCCTGAATGCTAGTCCCAACTCTGCCATGAGCCAGCTGTGTATCCTTGGGCCACTTTGACTCTCTGTGGCTTGGGTTCCTCATATTTAAGATGGAGAATGTTCTATTCTTCCAACCCCATAACAAAGATGGGGGGCTGCTGTGTCTCAATACCCGAGGCATTTGGGAAAGCTGGGTATCCACATGCACGATGTGAATTTGCCTGCATTTGGGAGCCAGTAAAATGTGGAAAGGGATCACACAAGAAACCTGATGCTAAACAGCTGGATTGCAGCATGAATGTGTTTGAAGCCGGCCACATCATTGTGAGTTTGTCAGCAGCATAGGGGACTTTGTCTTTCTTAGAAGCTTCCCAAAGGAGGGGTTATCCAAAGGCTTTTGCCAAAGCCTGGGTGGGAGTGGAGAGGCTTGAGGTTGGAGGAGGGTGGGTCATTATAACAGCAACCCCCAGAGCAATCTGTGAGTCTCCGTTGTCCCACAATAGGATATCATGGCATGTGTCTGAGATGGCAGCTTTCAAGCTTTTAGGTTTTCTTCTTGGGAAGCAATTTCCACAAATACCTCTAAAATGAATGCTCTGGTGACTTTGGGGGGGAAGGTTGCTGTGTGAAGCATTTACTGAATTCTTTGTACAGCTATTAGTTGGTTTAGATTTTCTATTTCTTTTTGAGCTGATTTGATTATTTAGACTTTCTTTTAAAAATCTGTTTCATCTAGGTTGTCAAGCTAATAAGCATCATTATGTGAAGAATAACTTCTGAATTCACAGTCATTTCTACTTTCTTGTTCCTAAATTTGTGTGTTTTTGTTACCGTTCAAAGCCTCTGAATGCTAATCTCTGTTATCTGACACAATTGATTTCATCTTTCTTATTCCTATTTTTCTGTCTTTGTACATCCTCACAAAGCCTCTGAATGTTCCTCCTTCTTACCTCCTTTGCAGGCAGTTTAGGCAGAAACAGTCCTAACTAAATTGTCACTGTATGATAAGCTCTCTACCAGGATCCATGGAAAAGTATAGAAGGAGGTATAAACTTGGTTTTTATATTCAGAATCCTGTGACCCAATGGGGAGGACTAGGTGAGTACCTATAAAATACAGGCAGGTCTTGAAACAAAGTGCTGAATTCTAGAGACCACTAGGAGAGGGACACCCAAGGGTGATGCTTTCCCTACTCATGAGCAACAACAACAAAAAAGGCAGCCAGTCAGGGTCAAGGGCAGCCTTAAACAAGAAGACATGGCAGAGATCTTCAGGGTCAAGGAGGTGGCAGGGGATAAACAATTGAGAGACACTTGATGTATCAAAGTTAGGGGTTCCAGATTTTATTGAGTCAAAGTCGAAGACATTGGTGGGAGGTCGGTAGCAGGGCTCAAAGCCATGTGGCCTCTGTCACTGGATCTGCTACCAGGACAATCTGCAGGAGGCCTATTGAACCAACAGTGCCAGCCAGTGATGGGTGTCACTTGGATGTGGTAATCAATTGCTCATGACACTAAATTGAAATGCTCTATTTCAATGTATCTCACCTCATCACACTGTGAGCTCCATGAAGCCATGGCCTGAGTCTTATTCATCTTTGTCTCCCCACTGCCTGGACTGTATGTGAGTGCTTTGTATTGCTGAGTGGTTAAAAGGACAGGCTTTGAAGTCAGATAGATCTGTGTTTATTTGGCTTCATTGCTTTCCACCTGCATAATTTACTTATTGTCCCTGGGTTTCAGTTTTCTCATTTCTAAAATAGCAATGATAATAATACTGACTTCTAGGGTTTGTTGTGAGGGTGAAATGAGGTGACAGATTTGGAAGTACTTTAGCAGAGTACCTGTCACAGTGTAAGCATTCAATCAGTGCTAGCTCTGACTGTCATTGGTGATTGTGGAATGAATGGGTGAGGGACAAGTGGACTGAAGAAGGGTTTTGGCCTATTTGATGAGATCATGACCCAAGACTGGGAAGAGGTTTAATAAGAGTGACCCTGGCAGTCCTCTGAGTCTCCTTCCCTTCTCTTGGCATCTCTTGGATGATTGGGAGGCTGAGACAATGGGGATAATCTTTCAACATCTCTCCCATTGTGTGAAGCTTGCAATCATTTTGGCTAGGGGAACAGGGATAAAATTGACCTTGGGTGGGAGATGATGTTTTTAATATAAATATTTTTCTAATGTAACATATGTACCCAATGAGCTGTTGTTATTTTGTGAGCACTGTGCCTTTGGAAAGCCATTGCTGGCAGCTTGAATGGGAAGCTTAGAACAATTAGAGGCTTTGAACACTTCCAAACTAAGAAGTGGGATAAGCATGTTTTGATTCTGTGGTTCCTCCTGGGGTTTCCCTGGTGTGCTGGACTAATTATTAGATGTAATTAGGAAAGCTGAGAAGTGCGGAGACTGCGGGGAGCAGAATGCTTTCCCAGGGACCCTCATTTCTTTGTGTAGAAAGGGGGTTGGGGAGACTGTCTCTCTGTTGTGGAGAAGCAGCAATGCTTAGGGTGCTACAGGGCTGGAAGGGTCCTGGGAACATGGCTCTACCAGCAAGAACTCAAGCCTGTTGGGACCCATTGCTCTCGATGAAGTTTTAAGTGGTCAACACAGTTTTCTTTTCCTGGTTTCTCAGGGAGGAATGGTATTCTGGGCCACTATCAGATTCTTGGACCATTTTTAGCAAAAGTCCAAATTTTGTGTGTCTGAAGCAGTTAAGCAATGATGTTTAGAACACATGCAGATAAAGAGAGGAGTTTCCACTTCTGGGTCAGCTACAGCGTCTATCCGCCACAGGCTGCAAAAGATTTTTCTCATCTGCCTTGGCCTAGATCCCTGGCCCCAGAGTTGGGCCAGGAGCACTCTGTCTTTGAGGCTCTGAGAAAAGGTAACATTTGTAGGGCCATCTCCTGGCTGACTTTTTTCAGAGGGGGGCATTCCATTTCTACATAGTCTCAATTTACTCTTGATGCAATAGAAACAAGACTAGCACACATGGAACATGGAAAGACAATGGCACTCAGTGTATCATCACTCATAGGGGTCATGGTGCAGATTTATGAGCATGGTAAATGTTTTGAGGAAAAGGGGATCCCTGGGAGCTGGGAATGATGGCTTATATATGAAGATTTTTGCCCTGCCAACATGGTGTGAGGTTCGTTGTCACAAGACCATCAGATACCAATCCAATATTTCTACTTTCTCCACAGGTAACCTGTCTCCACGATTTCTTTGGCGATGATGATGTGTTTATTGCTTGTGGTCCTGAAAAATTTCGCTATGCTCAGGATGACTTTTCCCTGGATGAAAATGGTAAGCGTAACCACTGGGTTTTATTGCTCCATTGTTCTCCCTGCTTCTACCCCTTAGGATACATCCATATATGGTCCCTTAAGGGCAGATATTGTTAGTCTTTCTCCTGTATATTTGGATATATGGATCACTAAGTAAAAGGATGACTGGATGTCCCAGAGTCCCAGCCTCCAAACTCAATAAAACTCACCATCTACCCCAATAGTGAACATATTTCTTGAACCACACATTGCGTCACATGGGCTGACAGGTACAATCAGACCATGGGAAGGAACATTTGGAGTCAGAACTGGGATATTGTACATATACTCTTTTTAAATCAACATCCTCCAGCTACTTGGCTTATAATGATGGGTCCATTTTAGAAAGATTTTTCTACTATATTCTTAGTGTCAACGCCTTGCTGCCCCATTCCGCTGTTTTATGATTCAGGATTCCAGAGGGTTGTTAATCTCAGGAAGGAGCTAAACATCTTCCCACCTCTCTTTGCTTGAGTCCAAGCTCCAGGTATAAGTTAAAGGTGAATTAGCTCACACAGCAACAAGGTTAGGATAGGATCCTGATGAAAAAACACATTCAAAACATATTTCCTACTTAGGATGAGTAAAGAGTGAGTAAAACACAGAGAGTTTTACTAATATAGACTTTACAAACAACTCAAATGACAAGAACCCTGAAACAGGTGGCATTTCTACTGTGTTCCCTTTTAGAAGAGGCAAATCACTAAGCAAAACCCAGGTTATGTCCAATTTCCTATACCTTCTAAATCTCCAGCTCTGGACCGTGACCACTAAAGTTCATCAACCAAAACAAGAAATGAAACAAAAATGGGCATTCTGCTTAACTCGGTTTCCTAAAAAAACTCAATTTACCGGAATAGCTCCCCTAATCTTTCTAGTTAATTTATATTTCCATGTATTTTTTAAGTTGGAGACAACAAGGAGGTGTCTAGAGAGGAAAGACCACGCTGTACCCAGCTGTTTGATCCCACTTTGCACACCACAAGGTTGGAAAATCTGTAATGGGAAGAACACTAAAGTAGGACTCAGGAGACTTGACTTTTAGTCTTTGTTCTGCTACTTTCTTGCTTTGTAGACCCAAGCAAGAGGCTTAAGCTTTTTGTACTCTCAGCAGCAAAATGAATATAATAATAATCCCCTTAAAAATTCGCACTTTCAGTGCCCAAAATTACCATAGTAGGGTATGTTGAGTAACCTGCAGAGAAAGGGTAGCCAGATGTGTCAGACTGGGGCCAGGGCAAATGCAGGAACATTTGGCAGACTCTCTTACACACCCGCAACCTTTCTTGGGTTCTGAGTGGCAGAGTCATTAATTCATTAAACCAGCATAAAGGAGTATGATAATGTACATTGAAAATAAAAAGAACTCTAGAAATGCAAGATGGTGGTGGTGGTAGTAGTGCTTATTTATATAAAATGACATGACATCCATCATGTGCCTATTACAGTGTGTGGTATGTAATAGACAATAATGGTAGCTCCCTCCCTCTCCTTTAAATTACTCATGGATGTTTGGTCTGTGTGGCTGTAGTCTCTCAGCTGTCAATCTCTACGCCAAGGAAATTAATTAAACATTGTATTAATAGCTACTATTCTGGGACATGGCTATGTTGTGCACAAATGATTGAGTTAACTATTTAATTACCTGCTTGATCTGCTTTTGGACTTCTGCCCTTGTTTCCATAATCCAGGGACTTAAATACCTAACTTTGCTCAGGTGACTTCTGGAAGTTTCCCCCATACCTCCTTTCCCAGAGCCATAGTTCCTACAAACAATGAGGACCACCTTGTAGTCCTGAGCCACTTAGATGCTTTGGCCTGTGGTGGTTATTTCAGTTTGCAGAGGCTGGTAACATGCTGAGTCTCAGTTTTACCCTCTACTAAGCTGTCTGTGTCCTTTTGCCCCAGAATGCCGAGTCATGAAGGGAAACCCCTCAGCCACAGCTGGCCCAAAGGCGTCCCCGACACCTCAGAAGAGTTCAGCCAAGAGCCCTGGCCCCATGCGCCGAAGCAAGTCTCCAGCTGACTCAGGTAACGACCAAGACGGTGAGTGCTTTTCTGCTAACTGCACGCTGACTTCATTTAAGGAGGCTGATGCCCTCTGCATGCAGAGGAATGAGTTCCTCATGAATACCGCTGTGTCTCCATGAAAACCAATTCTATTAATTCAGAGATGAAAACAGTTAAACTTGTTTGGAGTCATGGAGGCACAGCCATAACCCTTATTCTACTCAAATGGATGCAGATCAGAAATCTGGCCCATTTGCCATGCTTGCTGTAATGCTTATTGTCATGGTTGTCATCATTGTCATCGTCTTCAACATCATCCAGCAAAAACGTATTCAATGAAATAATCAAGTCAAACATGAATTTGAAATTGAAAATTAGAATCAAGAACAAGAATGTAAACAATTATCATTTTTTACAGAAGTGTCAACAGAATTGATGCACTTGAGCTTCACATTTGACTCCGAACTAATTAGAAGCCAAAACAAAAAGGGAGACAAGTATACCATAAATATATACAGTTTAAAAAAAAGGAGACAAGATAAGTTGCCTTGGGGGGAAGAAGGAGGGGAGGGGCAAAAACCTACCTAACCTACCTACCTCAATGAATACTATTGAGGTGATGGGCACACTTATAGCCCTGACTCAAGAATTACAAAAGCTATTCATGTAACAAAAACATTTGTGCCCCCTTAATATTTTGAAATAAAATTAAAAAATAAAAAAATTATTATTTTTACATGTAGTTATTTAATTATAATACAGTGTAAGTGAACATTTTATTTCTTAACTGATTTTATTTTATTTTATTTTTTTACTTGGTCAAAGTCACAAAGCTGGTGATTTTTTTTTATTTCAGGAAATTATGGGGGTACAAACATTTTGGTTACATGTTATGACTTTGCCATATCCCAAAAATAAAAGATAAGTTGCCTCACTCTCACAATGGGAAAAGAAAGCATAGACCAGGTTCTGAAAGGAAACAAAGAGATTTGTCATATAAGATTTTACTTAGTGGAGAGTGAGTTATCTACAAAATGTGGTCTACGGATCACTGCCAACCCATGAACTATTTGTTATCAGCCAGTCTGTGGTAAGATTAGATGCTTGTGCCAAATGTAAATCAACTATGCCACTAAGCAAATCATTTAGTTCAGCTGACTTTTTTTTTCAGATCATGATTTTATTGATGAAGGCAGCAACAGGTTGATTTATGTTTAGATGCAACCTCTATCTTGTCTTGGACCAGCAGTTTGAGTGGCACTGATCTAAAAGGCAATGTGTTCCATTCTTTTATTACAAATGTTAAAAATAAAAGGCCCCAGAAGTCCAAGTTTAGAAGCTTAGTAGACTCATGCATAGACAATTTGAGTTCTTCACAATAAGGAAATTATATGGTCCAGAAGACTTACACATTTGTCTTCCCAAGGCTCAGGGTTCATCATGAGAATTCTTCTAGCCTGAAAGCCTTGGGAAAGCACAAGGGCCTTTCAGTTTGGGGCAGCTTGAGCAGCCTATTGGCTCTAAAATACTTATGCCTAGTAAAACAGCCTGTCCTGCCTGTCTCACACCGCCAGGAGCATGCATATAACCAGCCATCTCTTTATTCTCAGGTAGAGGAAGCTAAAGTGTGAAAAGGCAGCTCAGGCTTTTACTACTTCCATGTCTTTGCACAACCTGTTCCCCCATACCTGGAATGCCATCCCTCTAATCCACCAGTCTTCTTTGCTTGAAAACTCCTATTCATCCTTCAAGGCCTCACACAGAGATAGTTGTTCTGTTCTGTGCAATACCATAGTATGTCATTCATACCTCTGGGGTAATATTCACCACACTGTGTTGTGAAGTATGTATTTACCTGTCTACTTCCCCAACTAAATATTGAGCCACTCAAGGTATCATGTTCATTTTTGTATCCTCAGGGCAGAGCACAGTGCCTGACCCCCAGTGTGCTCAAGTAATGTTTGTGAATGAATTGATCCACAGAAGCACCTGTTTTACCCAGCATGGTGCTAGAAGCCCAGTAAGCATTTAATAACGTTTGCTGAAGGAATAAAAATACATGTAATTTGGTGCTATCTTGTTCAAATGTGCAGAAAAGCCCGTGAATCTATCTAAGCAAATTTGTATTGCTGAAACTATAAAGACCTAGGTTTTGACACTGAGACTGAAAAAAAAATTGTTTGGACAGTTCTTAAGTAGAGACTTGCAAAAAACATACTTTAAAAACACTTGGTCAACATTGATAAAGTTGGGCAATAATTGCTTAGCTAATTGTTTTTCAGAAACAGCATTGGCTATTTCTGGAATTTCTAACCTGCATTACTTATATATTGCTGTGAAAGAATTTACTCTAAGATGTAGTGGCTTAAAACAAGCATTTATTAGCTCAGAGTTTCTGTGGGCAAGAAATTCTGGAGTGGCTTAGCTGGGTGGGTCTATCTCAGGGTCTCTCATGTGGTTGCAGTTAGGGTATTGGTAGGGGCTGCAGTCATCCGAAGGCTCAACTGGGGCTGTAGGATCTACTTCCAAGATGGCAGTACCTTTTATGATTTAGTCTCCAAAGCCAACACTGTCACTTCTCCTTTATTCTATTCATTAGAAACAATCAGTAAGTCCAGACTATATTCAAGGGAGAAGAATTAGATTCCACCTCTTCAAGGGAGAAATATCAAAGAATTTGTAGACCTATTTATAAACCACCATATAACCCATTAGTTAGAAATTCCCAGGTGGTATCAGCTTGAAGTAAATAGATTCTCTTTGCAGACTGTATCCAGTTGGTTACCCAGCACACACGTGAACACAACTACCCATAATTAAACACAGTTTAATCATATATCAAATCACTAATCTCCAACATGCTACCTACAGAATTTCCCTTCTACAAAATATGCACCTCACTGACTCTAAGGTATTAGAGACAGGACAGGAATACATTAAGACTCAATGAATATCTGTCAAATTGAAAGGAGTTATAATAGATCCCAACCCAGGCCTAAGCAGGCAAGACCTGCTTTTGCTCCTTCAGAACTCCCTCACTAAGGAAAAGGAAAAGGGATTCATTCAAACTCACAAGATAAACAGAGTAACCAATTTAAGGGGGGAGGAGAATATACTTGGCGGGTATCAGCATTACAAACAACTACTGTCCCTACCACCAATCTGAAGTGGTGTGCTCAGTAGAGAGAATTGGAATATTCATTTATGTTCATTATGTTCATGAACATAAATAAAGCCAAACCCTAGTCTATACGACCTTCATGGCAATTTCCAGAATGCTTGGGCTCATCTCAGATGATGTGTTTAGAGCCTCCACATGATTCCAGCCCCAAAGGGTAGGAGGATCCATGTTAGATTACTAAATCTGTTCCATGGCAATTTGTTTAGAGCCAAGTCCAATGTATTCACTCAGTGAACATAGGGGCAAAGCTGATCTTAGGCAAAATGGTATCTTAGGTAAGGTTTCAATTTGATATACCCATTTTCTCTTCTCCACCCCTACCTCACTCAGCACCATTGCAAGCTGGGAGGTAGGGGGAGTTAGTATATGGAAGAGGAGAGGGAGACAACTCTCTAAGAAGGCCTAGCCACACCATTTCCCAGCTTTGAGATGTGGGGCAAATTTCTTACCTTCTCTAAGATTTGGTATCCTCTTTAGATTATTCAGAATTTGCATGTCTATACATGCGAGTAATTTTCCATTGTTATCAGTTATTCACAATTTACAGAGTTGTAAAATAACTCCCACAGAATCAGAATCAGATAACTAGAATGATGAGCTATAGGCAATGCATAGTTTTCATTTGGCATAAATTTCTCCTTATAGACATTTGAGATTTGAGAAGAAAGAATTATTTCATAAAATGTCAAGATTTTTCTGAGCTGTTAGCAAGGGACAGACACAGGCTAATATGCATTTAACCAAAGAATAATGGCATTGGTTGGGGCAGAAAGTCTTTATTCTTTTCTAAGACATGGTAGTACAACCCTGTTTCCATCCTGTTAGTCTGTCTTGGATCTGGAACTTGTGGATGGATTCATGTATCTTCATTAAACCTGAGTAACTAAAGGTTCTGGAAGATAGGCCATTTCCAGGGAATTTTACTTTCCTTTAAAGGCAAAAGAAAGCCCCAAATATTTCTCTTCAGCAGGGACTCCAACCAAATGAAACACCGACTCAGTTCAGGTTCAACTTAAGGAATGTTTTAATGTTCTAATTTATTAGAAAATATATAAGTTTGATTCTGGTTTGAACAAGCTTGCTAGATTTTAATATATACATATTTGGTCCAATTCATGGTTGAGTTAACAACTGGGTTAAGTTCTATTTAAGGTTTCATAAATTGATGCTATTTGATCTATAATTTGCACCGTAATTTGATTCCTTTTAGTCCTTGGTCCTTAAGTTGTCTCTTTCCTGTTCTGCCCATGAATAAATCAAAATCTTTCTACTTTATTCCCCTCAAGTTCAGTGACCACTCCTGCCAATATTGAGTTTACCCCCAATAGAATGTCTATTGCTAAGCCCTAAACTCAAGTTAAGGAAGGCTTTGGTTGTCTATAAAATATTCCTGTAAGGAGTAAGGAGGTCATTCTCACTGGCCAGAGCTGATGGACTCTTAAGACTCCAAGTTACATTAGCCATGTCTGTCTGTAAAGTAAGCCAAAAACCGTGGTAAAAGAATAAAATCTGAGCCCAGGAGGCTCCTGTGGGATATATGAAGGAAAGCCTATGCAGTGCCACATTTTGATTAACCCAGGACTTACTATTTTGATGGGCAAAGGCAAGCCTGGCTTCAGAACTAAAGAAAGATATTTCTAGGGTATCTCTCTTTGTTTACATTTCAGTCATTAATGTGTTAATTTTCTCTTTATGTAATTTTGCCCCCAATTGAATTGAATTGAATTAAAAGGACCAAATAGCTAGTTGCTGAGAAAGGATCTTTTCTTTTTCTTTCTTTCTTTTTTTTTAAGGAGCCCCCAAGGAAGCTAATTACCCACCATGGTAGGCTGAGAAAATTGTAATGTGATAATTA